CTCCTCGAGGCCGCTGTGCATGCTAGCGGACTCGTCAGTCCACCCAGCTCACACTACTCGGCAATAGTGCGAAACCCGGTCGGTTCCGTCAATGAACTGACACAGCCACGGCAAAAAGAAACCTCTCATTCACGTGTCTAGCAAGCCTTTTTTCTCATTATCTCGCGCGAAACGACCACGGGAGTTGATCAGACTCCGTCGTAAGCTTCCGAACAAACTAGCAACGCTCAGCACCAACGGTATATCGTACTGATTGTCCAGGATGTGTGCAAACTCACTAATACCAAAGTCCCATTACTGTGATACCAACGGCGTGAAACGGCCATCAACGACTGAATGGATATTGCTCCTGCTCTTGTAGGTTACTGGCCCCTGCACTGCCACGGACCTCATGCGGTTGGTCTGCTGCGCCTCCGACTCATGCGAATCATTCCTACGCCGCCTCCTTGACGGTGATCTGTCCCTCGACCCCTTCGAACCACAACCTCTGCCCTGGTTATCGGCCCTCGGGTCATGGGGATCTGTCGCACGACTGAACCCGGGGTCCTGAGAATCTGATCCATAACCCGCATCGTCATGTACTGGTCGAAATGGCGTGGCCCACAACTCTGTCCTAATCTTCACACCTCGCTGCTCCTTCACCACGAAAACATAGTAACTGATCGCTGCTGCCACCACAGTCACCACCATGTGCGTCGCGCAACTCCACCAACTGAACTCGTTCGTCCTGCTCACCTTGATGCTGACTCCGTCCTTGTAGTCGTACTCGGCCGCGTCTGCCATCGGAGTTGCCATCATGGCCGCCAGCACTTTCGTCAACACCTGTGGGTCTTGGAAACTCGTCATCGACAGTGGTATCAAGACCAGCGTCTTCATCTGCCCCTTGAGCGTCTCCTTGTCCATCGGCTTGGTCCCGATGTCCGCAACCTGGTCCTTCGCGTTGACTCTTGCAACCTCTATCTCGCCGTCCCGAACCAAGTCCTGGTGCCGTATCCACCTCGTTTGTAGATGCCGTACTCGGCCCACTCCGTGTCTGTGAATCATGCCTCTCGCCGCCGCTGGGTTCGTCGACGACTCCAGCGTTATCTTGATCTGCTCCTTCCGCATCCCGGCCATCTCCTGCAACGTGTGTTTGATGGTGAAACCCCTGGCGATTCCCGAGCCCATGGCGTAGAACTCCGGTTCCCCGCTCGATGACGCCACCGTCGCCTGAGATAGAACCCAGCCTTCCAGTCGATGAGCTCCCAGTCGCACTCCTCCGGATGAAATGCTCTTGCATGTTGCCTCCAGTCCTGCGCAGCCCGCGTCCGCTGACGCCGCCACCTTGAAAGTCCCCTCCTGGCGCAGGTAATAGATCACGATGTCAGCTGTCTCCTTCAGGTATATGACCAGGCGCTCCTGCTTCAGGATGTGCTCCGCCCGCGGGCCCAGATGTGCTCTCGAACGGCCCCCTGAATATTCCATCTGTCTCCTGCCAAGTACCGGGCAATATCTCCACGGCTGCGGTAGACCTTTGAACTCTGATGTGGTGCTGGATCTTCTGCTTCTCGAACTGATTTCGCTGTGTGCTTCGAACTTGGCGCCCCAGTGGGCTTGCCTTGCTTCGAGTCGGGCAGCTCCACCATCTTTTAAATCAGCTTCGGGTCTGGTCGAATGCCGAAGCCTCCCTCGCCCCAAAGAGCCGCCCTGTTGAGCAACGTACCCCTGCAGCTCCTCCAGGTCCCACTCGCGGTTGAGGCTTGACCTTGAAACGACTCGCCATAAACTCGTCGAAAGCGCCCAGCTCCTCGTGGTAGGCCTCCACAGCGAAATCATCCCCATGTCCTGCACCTAGAGAGTTCATGTTCGGGTTGTAGCGCAAGCAGCATGCCGTCTTCAACTCCTGGAACCCGTTCTGGTCAAAGTTGTCTCGGACTTCGCCTTGGACTAACATTGATGCCTCGGGGGTCCCGTACACCGCCTTCTGTAACTGCCATCGCACTCCTGGCCGTTTTTTTTTTTTTTTTTTTTTTTTTTTTTTTTTTTTTTTTTTTTTTTTTTTTTTTTTTTTTTTTTTTTTTTTTTTTTTTTTTTTTTTTTTTTTTTTTTTTTTTTTTTTTTTTTTTTTTTTTTTTTTTTTTTTTTTTTTTTTTTTTTCTGGTGGTGGCCAGCAGTGCTGCGGCTCCTTCGGCGACGCGTGGAAGAACGCCGTCGATATGTCGTAGAGCCCGAGCTTCTTCTTCTCTGCTCCTTCGGCTTCGTAGAAGCTGCCCGTGATACATACCACCAGCTTCACTGCCCACAGTGCGGGTGTCCATGCGAAATTTGAAGGGTCGGTTCCATCGTTGTACCTCCTATGGACGCAACGGCTCCTCACGATCAAACTCGTTGTTCTGTCGGTCGTACTTCTTGCTTTGGTGTCCAACGGCTTCATCCAGTCCTCGAACGGCACCCATTCGAATACTTTGAGCTCCTCCATGCTCCTCATCTCCTTGGTCCTCCCGTTGGTAACCAGACCCCTCGGCAACTCCTCGCCGGCGTGCACGCCCCCGTGAACTCCATCCCCCACCAGCTTACCATAATTCAACCTCGGCTCGATCTGCTCGCAGACGTGGCGGTCCTCCTCCTTGGTGACCGACGTCGGGATGCCCACCTCCATCACGTCATCCCTCCTGGGAGGAAGCGGTGTCACAACTCATCCTGCGATGATAGCATTGCCCGCCATCTCCAAGTCCTGCTCGATCGGTTCGTCTTGCCCGAAGCGGTGTCCTACAGGTGTGCCTGGCGTTCGCTGTCCTGCTTCCTCCAGTCGGAGTGCCAGAGCTCGGGCCGCTGCTGATGGCGGCGCTGCCGCTGGTACTGCTGGCGCTGCGCTTCCTTCTGGTTGAGCTTCTCCTGCCTGGGCTGCCGGCTCGATCCTGGGCTCGGCCTCGTCGAAGATCTTTGCGAGTCTTGCCCTGCGCCTCGCGCTGTGCATCGCCGAATTCCCTTCGCAAGCTGCGCGCCCATCAATGGGGCCATGCAATTCGGCAAGCGCCTTCGCAATGTGCCGTCTCCGCCGTGCTACCTCGTTCTGGTCCTTCGCCCCCAGGCCTCTGGGGTTCCAAGTCGCTCCGGTGAATGTATTGTGGGCCTCCTTTTTGTACTCGTCCTCGGCGCGTCTCAGCTTCGTCGCCCTGGCATGCTCGATCCCTCGCGCCGCCCCCGCAATGGCCCCGTCGCTCTAGTCGCGCCTCCCCAAGAAGATGCCTTCGCTCCACCGCGGCCCCAGCTTGGAATAACCCTTCGCCTGGATCTTGCAGTCGACCGTCTAGCCTATCTCCCCCAGCTCTGACCTGTACTTCGCTCGCCCCAAATTTGCCCAATCTGTTCTGCCATCCGTCTTGATCGCAGACCTGGTGAATAAAAAACCCCACGTGCCTGGTCAACCGTGGCGTGATCCAGCTCTTCGGGCCGATCTTCGCCGTCAGATGGAACTCCAGCTTGCTGTGTGACGTCCGTAGTAACGACTCCACTCGCTCCACCGCATTCTCGATCGCCCCATTGCTCTGGTGAGATCGTTTGGGTGACATCTCCGCCTGCGTGCTGTTCTTCCCCCTGTTCTTCGCCGCCGTGATTGCCGCCTGCAATGATGGCTCCTGGTCGCCCTTCGAGATGATGTCCACTGCTCCCTGGACGTCTAAGTAGAAACCCGCCGTTGAATGGACGTGCTCGCTGGGCCCCTTGTCGATCAGCATGATGGATGCCGCCGCGTCCTCTGGCTTCTGAACCGTCGCCAGGACGTTCCGTCTCATCTTCGGTGTTCGTCCATGCTAATGACTGGCATCGTCGGCGCCTCCCCTCGGTTCGTCTTCCTGCGGACTCCGTCCTTGCCGCGTCCCCGCAGACGGCATTCGCACCAGTCCTCGTGCGGCGCGCGCGTCTTCTCGTGGATAGCAATCTCCTCCGCGGTCGGCGTGTACCTCTCCATCTTGGCCTTTGGTATCCGAACATCCTCGCTCTCCTCTGGTTCTTGTTGAACTCCTGCGGCTTCTTCTCCGTCGACTCCGTCCAATGGGCAGAGCGTCCTGGCGTCCACGTCGAAGCTGTAGATCCCTCTGCTCTGGGCGATCTTCAGCGGCTTGCTCAACCTGTTGTTCCTGGTCTGTTCCTCGACCATCTTCTTGATATTGCTGCTAACGTTGTGCTTGGCCACCGCTCCGCCGTGCTCGTCGAGACAGACGCCCTGGGACCCCTTTCGTCATATCGCTGACAGCAATGGTCGTCATGTGAACGCTAAGTGCGCCGAACTGTCCTCGCATGGGTTGCCTTGTTCCCGGCACCTGCACCCTCGCCGTCTTGCAGCCGTCTGCGTAGATCTGGGTACCATCTGCCAGTCGTAGTGGTGATGCGCCCGCTTCTTCTCGTGGTATTCTCGGTGCAAAACTTGGTGGGCATACGCTCCGTGCTGCGCGCGGGTCGACCATGACCTCAATCTTCCCGTCACCATCGCTGTCAAAGTCTCCACTTGGAACCAAGAAGCTTTCGTCATTCCCCATCGTAACGTCATTGGGCGCCTCATCCTCAAAATCTGTGATAGGCTGATCAGTCAGCTTGTAATCCACGCAATGTGTGATATGCTGATCAGTCAGCTTGTCATTAACCTGCGATATCCTGATCAGTCGGCTTGTCATCCTCGCCATCTGTGGTGCAGAATATTTAGCCCTCCTCGGTGTCGTGGTCGCACCCTCAGTGCTTCATGTCTTGGTCGTTTGGCTTGTCGGGGGCGGGGGCGGTATTCGGCTTGTCCTGTTTGTCCTTTCCGCCCTTGCCCTTGCCTTTGCTTATGTATATGAACTCCTTCTTCGCCTGCGTAATCTTTCCATCCTTCGTGTCCTTTGTGGCCTTCCTGCGCCTCGTCCGCTTGTGACCTTTTTTTTTTTCCCGCGGCGCCTGCGTGGCTGGCTTGTCGGGTTGCCGTCGCAGTCCTTCCCTTGCTCTTGTCCTTGCCCAACTTGCCCATGCCGTCTCCCCCGTGCTTGCCGAACGTCAGCGCGTCCAGTCCATCGGTGCAGGTCTGCTGGGCGCCATCGCTGCCTGCTTTGACCTCAGGTATTTTTAACACTTCTGCCCTGACCAACGCACGCGCGGTGAACCTCGTGGCATTCAGCATCAAGTGTTCTCGAAGCCTGCCTGGGGCCAGTCCGGCACTGAGCACCGACGTCTTGATGGGCTCCATGACCTTCTCACCTGTCTGCTCCTCGTAGCGCTGAACGAGCGTCTCCCGCGAAGCGATGCCTTTGTTCGGATCGTTCTCCTGCGCGTGTAGATGCAAGACTGAGTCTAGCATCCCTGAGAACCTCGACGGCACTTTGGGCTCGAGCTCCACGCGTAGTATTCGCCGCGCTTCCAGTCCCGCGCCTGATTGGGCGCCCTTCGCAATGTCCTGCGCCTTGTCATTGCGAGTCAATTCGCACGCCGAGCTTCTTCGCCCAGATCCTCGTGCGAGAATCTCTCCGCATCCACCTTCGCTGCGTCGCGCGCCGACTCGGCCATGTGCGGATCCACTGCCGTGCAGTATGCTGCTGGGGCGAATCTCCAGTTCCCCCCATGTCGCTCCGCCCTTATACTTCGCATTATCGTCGAGCTCCCCTGAGAAATTGTCAGGTTTGCCAAGCAGTTTGGCGTCCAACAGCGATTCTGGACGATGGGCAGGTCCTGGTTGATGCCCATCATGTCCTGCGACTCCAGCTGCCCCTGCTGCTGCCTCTGCTGCTGCCGCCCGAACGTTGGCCTGCTGGGCCTGCCTCTCGAGCTCCGTGATCTGATCGCGCTGTCTGACCACGGCGCCCTCCAATGTCGCTATCCGCTGCAGCGGCTGTTGCCGTCGCGGCGCGAGCAGCGTGGGGCCTGGCCGCGGGCGCAACCAGGCTCTGCTACCATGCGGAATGATGAAGACCCAGACGGTTTCAGTGCGCAGAATACCAGCCTGTGCATCGTGAAACCCTGCAATCTGTCATTCTCTTCGTCGGTCGGGGCCTCTGGGGCCCGCGTCGGCCCCCGGGGCTGTCAGGGGAGGGTCCGGGGCGAACGCGGGAACTCCCGGGAAGAAGTCTTCGTCCTCCTCCTCGTCCTCTCGTCGTCGTCCATATTCTCTCTTTTGTGCGTGAACAAGGAACTCCCCCCGGTCGAGTCCCGCGGCGCGTCGGCAGGGCGGGGCGGGGGTTTCGCTTGAGACTTCTTCGCCGTGCATGACCCTCCGGGAAGTAGCAGGAGCTTCGCGGATGGAGGGCGCGCCGTTTCCAAAATGTGGTTCTGGTCTTGTCGCCGCGCGCATTCGTCTGAACGTTTGCGAGATTTTCACGGATGGGGGGCGGGTCGAATTCAAAATGCGGCTCTTGCCTTAGCGTCGCGCGCATTCGTTTTGAAAGGCTGTGAGAGCTTCGCGGATGGAGCGCGCTCTCTTTGAAATCTGTGCCCCTTGACTTGGTGCCGCGCGCATTCGCGCGTCCGTCTTAAGAGCTTGCGGCAATTTCAAATGGCTGATGCTGTTGACGTCCCAGAACTGGTTCTGGCGCGACGTAGGAATATCAGGGCGCCACGATTACGCTGATTTGCGCAGTTGAAATCAAAATGCTGCGACTCTGAACGATCTGATTGGCGGGGGCAAGGGGGCGAGGGGGGGGCAGGGGCTTTTACTTTGCGCGCTTGTCTGGGCCGTGCTGCGATCGTTTGGCCTGATTGTCTGAACTCGGGAGGGGGGGGGGGCCCTGTGCTAGACGTGGGGGTAGGCATAGATGTGCGCGCGCATGTTTTCCAAACGGCGCTTGCGCTTGAGAATTCTTAGTTCCCTTCTGAGGGGCTCGGCCCGTCTGCGGCCCGGCGGCTCCGTTCCCGTCCGTCGCCGCCTCATGTTTCGCGAGAAGTGGCGCGCGTGCCTTGGCTCGTGCGCGAGGGATCGGCGAGGGGCGCGGACCCACTAATCCAGGCGTCGCGGCGAGGACCCCTGGGGGGCGCGAATCCAAGAACCCGCCGGTGGCGGGGCGACGGCCGGGGGGGAACTACCCGCCAAGGATTCCTGGCTGCTGACGTACTCCCATGCGGGTGGGCGTAGCTTGCATGGGGAATAGCAGAGCTCCGCGTACGTCGGAGTCGCCTGGGTGATCCACGCGCTGGGCCCCGCGCCCTCGTCTGGGCGGCGCCGCTCGCGCGCGCGTCAGTTTCTCGACAGGGCCAGCGCCGTCCGTGCACCTGGAGGGGGTATCGTTGGCGATCGGTAAGGAACTGATGGCGCTCAAGTCAACAGATGAAAGCCTCCGAGGGCGAACGCCGCGCAACAACTAATTCAACTTTTGGGAAATCGGGGGGGCCTGCCGCCGCGCGGACCCGATAGCAAAATCGCCCCGAATGTCCACTGATGATCACAGGGGCCACATCGCAAGCCCATGACAGACGGGGGACCGCCTGAGCACTGGACGCAAAGCACTCGGTGGACAAGTCTGGGGGCTCTTGGAAATCCACACCCCCCTCTCCTGAGCACCTGCCTTCAAGGGGTTCTTCCGCGGAGCGGCATCGCTTGGGGCGTGCGTCGCATCCCTGGAGCTGATCAAACCTTCCCCACTGATTAGGCACAGGCAGTCCCAAATTTCGACAGGGGGACTATCGAACGGGCGCCCTTCCTGATCGAGCCCGAGCCAATGGGGCAAAAGGTCACGGTCCAGTGCGAGCTTGCAAGCAGACTTGGACATAATGATGAGGCGATCCACGTTAAGACGTTTCTGCTGGGATGGCGGATGGCGCGACTGTGCGCCTGCGCGAGCTGCTGCGTCGGCATGGGCATTGCCGCGCATCCGGAACGACTCATATGTTTCAAACCCCTATTCGTTGACATCGGGGCAGGTTCGGATTTCTGGAGAGCCTCGCCGAGATGCTTGCAAGTGTAAGTGGATTGAAACATGCAAGCAACTTTCTCTTTGTGCACCATTGTCAACAACCAGAGGGCCACTTTGAGAGCGCGGCGACGGCGCGCAGCGACGGCGCCGCAGCGCGCGGCCTAGGCGGGCAAAGCGCAGCTGCAAGTGAGATAGGCCTGGTACCAAGCCTAGGAGGGGGCAGTCCCAGGCAGCGGCACCGCCCGCACCGCTGATTTTCCCGATGCGCTTGTGGCAGCTCGTGGGGTGGAGGGTGAGGAGCCGCAGCGCCGATGGCCTGGCGCACCATGTGCGCAGGTCCCCCGCAAACCCTTTGCAATTAACCATGCAGCTGGAGTCCACGAGCGGCACCACGGGCGTGCTTATGAAGTTACGCGGGAGTACGAACATGGCGATGACCAGCAGAGCACCGCGCCAGAAAACGCTGGACTCGAGCTTGAATGGCACGCCGCACGCGAGCAGCCGGTGAACGGCAGTGCGGCATAGCGTCACAGGGTCCAGCGACAGCAGCGGCCACCAGCCAGCAGGCGGCAGCGAGCGCATCACATTGCATGCGCGGGTAGGCGACCGAACATGAACTTCAGCCCAAATGGCTACGAATTGCGAAGGAGGAGGAGAAGAAGGGGGAGGAGGAGGAACAAAAGGAGGAGGAGGAGGAGGAGGAGGAGGAGGAGGAGGAGGAGGAGGAGAGGAGGAGGAGGAGGAGGAGGAGGAGGAGGAGGAGGAGGAAGGGAAGAAAAAGAGGATGATGAGGAGGAGGAGGGATGGTTCCGACTGGGGGGGTCCAGGGCGCGGAGGCCCAGGCGCCCCCCCTGGAAACCTCTTGACTCCTGGACGGCGAGGGCCCTTCCCGAAAGGGCTCAATCACGTCCGGACATCCGAAATCGATACCTTTTCAACGCGGGGTCCCTCGGGCTGGCTTTTCACCCCGAATCGTTTTTCAACGGTCCCGGCAACTGGCGAGGGCCCCGAGAGGTCGAACATCTACAAAAACCTCCAGCCACGATTTTTCCAGGACGCATGTCGGGGTCTCGATTCCTGGAAGCGCGAGCACTGGTTCGAAAGCCCCTGATCAGCAGAGCGTGGACAGTGACTTGGGGCAGGGCTGCTTAAGCCGAATGGGCGGCAGCGCCTCGTCACTGTCCGAGGTCCAGTTGCTGGCCTACTCGTGTCCTGCTTTCTTTGGTTGCCCCCCCCCGCTGGCGAGTGGGCCAAGAAGGGCGCCACGGCGCACCAGGGACGATCCGCTCGCTCTCGGCAGGTTGAGCTGCCTTGTCCTGAAGTCCCTGTGGTCTTC